CAGGATGAAAATGATAGTAGTTATAGAGACCAACTTAAAAATTGAGAATTTCGACCTAACCTCTCCTGGATATGATGTTCTTTTCTTTCTCCAAGTGGCAACTCTCAGCTGTCCTGGTTAGTAAACCCTCCAGGTGGCTCCCAAATTTAATTCCAGTTCAGACACCTGGATTTCCTTGTTGAACTGAATGGTCTTAGAATGTAAAGATAATGATTATTTGGTTGAGTACACTGCTCACCCAGTTTCATTACAGTGGCCCATGTTGGCCAAAGTGGGAAGCACAATGGGTCCCTGTAAATTTTATAAAAATGGCTTTGTTCCTCTTGTACCTGCCCTTCTGGACGAAAAGTTGGGTACAAGTAGGAAATTACTGGAAAAAAAGGTACAATTACTGGGACACACTGATTTTGTGGCAGTGGAGGCAATATAACCACCCCACATCTGGGGGTATAGGAGACATGAACAGGAGGGGCATTAATAATCTTTGTCTTTCAGAACTGCCCCTGGAGCCTTAATCACAAAGAAAAATGCCCTGGTGAGACTACCCCGCACTGTTTCACTGAGTATAATATTTTGGCAATTATTTTCTTTCCATTCATTGAAAATCATTTTATTATTTTCATGTTGTCTTATTGCTGTGTCAATTTGCGTCATTTGTCACTTTCTCTGTCACTAATTTTAGGATAATTCCACCTTTTTTCTCTGAGTACTTTTAAGATCTCAGTCTTAAGTGCTCTGGAGTATCACTGTAATGAACCTAGGTAAGGGTTTCTTTTAATTTTCCTGACTGGCATTTGTTGGGCCTTGTGAAATTACAGGTTATCTTTTCACTTCTGAAAAACTCTCAGTGATTATCTCTTTAAATTTGGCCTCTGACCCACTCTCTCCCCTCCTTGTGTAATACTAATTAATGTACATTAGACCTACTCACTTTTTTTTCCATGTCTTTCAACTTTCCTCTATATTTTCCATCTTTTTAGCTGTCTGTTACAGGTTGGATAATTTCTTCTCACATATCTTCCAGTCTACTAATATGTTCTTTAGCTACATCTAATCTGCTATTAAACCTAGGTCCTGTACTTTTTTTTTTTTACTTTAGTAATTCTAATTTTCATTTCCAGAAGATTATGTTCAGTTCTTTTTCAAATGTGTTAAATCATATTTTTAAGCATTTATTGTTTCCTTTAAAAGCTAAAGCATAGTTCTATCAATCACAATATCTAAATACATGAGTGCATTTTTGCTGTCTATTATTTTTGCTGATTCTCACAGTGACTTCTTCCCAAGTACCAGGGTAATTTTGACTGGTGGTGCTTGTAGAGCTTCAAAAGTTACTGAAGGGGATTCTTTGAGGCCAAGGATAAAGACAACTTCCTAGAGAGAGAATGTATCTTTGATTCTGCCAGGACCTAGAGACAACACAAATCCAACACCATTTAAAACTAATTTCCCAAGTTGGGATTTATTGGACCACTAAAGTGACACAAATTACCTGCAAAACCATGGTACAACTTCTCAGGGGCAAGTTTCATCACCTCAAATAGCACCCTTCAGAGCTAAGGCAACTATCTTTGTAGTGCTCTAGGGGTTCTGAAAGAGGGGGATACTTCTGATTTACCCTTATTGTGAATATGTCATCCTTTGACATACCACTTAATGAGGGGAATGATCTCCTATTAAAGCTCTCCAGCATACACAGATGATGTCCTTTGACTTCTTTTTCCCACCCTCAACAAGGATATCATAACTGAAGTTTATACACACAAGCAAATTTACACACACAGGCAAATTCTATCACATCAAAAAGTGACTTTCAGTGTGCTGAACTTATTCCTTCGGCTTCCTGCTTTCACTTTGATTTTAGTAAAATGTTTAAATATTTTATATCCAACAGAAACAACACATTCCAGTTGTTTCCACTAGAAAATTTGTCTTAGTCTACTATATTTCTTGAAATAGCTGGAGGTGTGCTCTTTTAACTAGAACCTAGCCCTACCTTCTACCCAGCTAGGTCAAAGTCATTTCATAATGCAAGCCATTTTCACAAGAAATATGCCATAGACACAAACCTGTCACAACGTAGTTTATTAGTAAATTTCAACTATCTATACCCTACTTGTTCCCTATCTAAGCAATGATAACCAAGAGATAATTATAATATAATACATCCAATCCTGACATTAATGAGTAATTATATTAAGAAGTACACTTTAAAAATGTTCAACTTAAAAAACTTTACCATGAAATTTGAGTGCCTAAACACAGGATTATAAGATATAAAAAGATAGGCTTTATCTCATCTAATTATACACAATAATGTAGTATTCCAAATGTGTGAATTCATACTAAAGTATGTCTATTGAAATATAACCACAGTCAAATGATCCCAGGATTTTATTTTGGCAAGATTACATCATCTGAACTTGGATAATGAACAAGTAGTTAAATTTACTTTTAAGCATGATACATAATTTGCATAATTTTGCCTTTTGAATTTAGAGTCCTAAGCCTTAATAAAACCCATAAAAACAAATATATCTTTGCCAAATGTGTAGCTAGAACTGACATTTCCTTTTCTGTGATACAATGTGATTTACATATGTGCTTATTAACTGCCTATTTTGCATTTAACACTTTTTGTTAACTGTAAATTATAAAACCTATATATAAAAAAATTACATTTTGCAACAGTAAATTAACACGACTTTTTACTTCTACAGAGTATAATTTAATGTAACATTTTATGGCATATTACACTATGCCAAAGCTCTGTAATGTTATCTACAATAAAAATATTTATAAAATATTTACTATTTTAAAAGTACATTAAAATTTAAAAGACCAAGAATAAAAAAGAGCATTATCTTATTTTATTTTCCATTTGGACAAAAATGAATATCTAAAACAATATATAATATATACATTAAACTTAATAACAGATTAGGAATAGTTTTAATCCCTTAACTCAAGTTATTTTTACTTTTTATTATCTAATTAGT